CCCCTCATCCCCCCCTCCCCCTCCCACACCCCCACACTCCCCTCCCCAGGTCTAGTCATGAGGCTGGTTTTCGGTTGGCATCACTTTCCCTGGCAACAGGCTGACAGCAGCACTCACAGAAGTAACACTGAACAAGTAATTATTAATTTTAGTTGTGCATGACTGATTGTACTCTGCACACTGTAGCTGGTGTTGCATGCATCACTGCTCAACAGCTATTACAAAAATACTAGGACTCGAGGAGTACAAATCATGATGGAGAACAACACTGGTAGATCTACTCAGTATGGTTGCTGCTACTAGTATGGTACACTATTGTTACCGTAGACTCAGTCAGTCTTAGGTTTATGGTTCTCTCCTGGGTAGATCTGGGACAGAGTTGGTGCAGCAAGATACTACTAGTACTAGGCCGTATGCCGAAGCCATGCAAGTCACAAACAGCTGCTTCACGAAACTACCAATAGCAGGGGGCGCAACCCTGTGCCTATGGGACACCACCAACCAGAGCAGAGGAGAATGCCTGTGGGCTGGGCTCGGGCGGCCAGTAAAGCCCTCAGTGAGTTTCCAAGAAACTGGGAATGCTGCATAGGTACATCATGCACAGCGAATGGGGTACCCAGCCCTTCTGCTCTGGTGACCAACTACTAACAACATGCCCACTCGCCAATGCCCTAGTCCAAGCCTTTCGTCAGTGGGTCTAGTTTTCCAGAGTGGCACAGCTCAACAAGCTGGCATTGGAGCTCGACACGACCACGGTCATGCTCGTCTACAACTAGTAAGTAGTAGTGCGAGTACGAATACATCTGGAGCTGAAGTAGTAGTTCATCCAGCAATCACGGGTAGTTACAGCTGCGGCCCGGTGCTTTTAAAAATGCCTCTGACAATCTACCGGTCTTCTGCAGCCAAGAATGCCAGTAGGCAACACTGTAGCACCCACCCCGTGCGGCAAACATCTTCAACCCTCTGCATATCGTAATAGATTTTTCATTTGACCCGACGATACTATACATTACTCTGCGCACGCACGGACACATCACCTGCGGCGCGGCGCTGCGACTGCCAGCCAAACCTCCGCCAACAACACGCTAAGCACAAGACGCTCACCTTTTTCTCGGCCATGCTATCAGCTAACTCCAACCTGTCTCTAGTTCTAGTGATTCCAAACAAGCTACACGAACAACACACTCGAACAAAGGAGAGCTGCTGGCTTTTGCGTGGCGGACTGCGACAAACCTGGTGCAGAACAAACAAACCGATCAAAAGTAGCGGCTTTTCTGTGAGTGTGAGTGCAAAAGGGCGCGAAGCGTGAACGTGAGCTGGATCATGATCAGTGTCACAGTGACAGTGACATGCAGTGGATGCGCCTTGATCGTGGTGGTACAGCGAGTCTAGTCTAGTCCGACCCGAGTAGTCGATCGAGTCGGCATCAGGTGTTCAAGTGTGGGGCATTCTGATTTTTTTCCACTGATTTACTCATGTCAGTACAGTGTCAGTGTCACTGGCATTGGCACTATACTGCCACTACTGGCACTACTGGCACTAGTACTAGTGCTAGCTCTACACTACAGTACTACACGTCATACAGGCTAACTACAAGTACAGTGTCAGTACCTTTTTCTACCGTGTTGTAAATCTACACTCTCGTATGTATCATGACTTGTGGACGTCTATCTGACAGCAGCTGTACTGGGAAGGGGGCGTGCGGGGGGCGTAAGCGCGTGCGGTAGATGTCAAGCGGGACCGTACACATGGTACATGTCAGCAAGAGTCCACAATATGCACTCTTGACTCGAGTTGATGTCAGCCATAACCATGATAACCATGACATGTCCATGATAACCATCATCATACTTCATAGTCACAGACCACCCTTTTCAGGTGATCTACGGATATCTCCCCTCGTTTGAGGGGATTATGGCTCATAATCCCCTCAAACGAGGGGATCTCATGATGAGCCACAGGAGATCCTGTGCCTGTGGATCCCCTCGGACGGTGGGTCGGACCCAATCCTTCTACCAGCATAACCAAGAGAGCTAGCTCCCTTGGCTGCTGTTTGAATATGCAAGAATGGGCCTTCCAGATAAGGTCTAAAAGGGGGAAGTGGCTATAGTTGTCAAAAGAAAAGCATATTGGTGAAACAAAAGTTAAAAACAGGGAAGTGGCAATCTACTAAGGTGTAAAGGCATAGTGGTGGCCTGCGGAAGCGAAGGCTATAGCTTGTGTGTTTCTGAACATTCAAGTGATGCTAACGCGGATCCCGCGAATATTATTATTATTATTATTAAGTGGCAATCTTTCTATCACTATCAGCAACAAACAAGGGCATCTTAATTTACAACATACTACTTGAACCGGACGTGCCGAACACCGGTAACCATAGAGACAGACCACACTCGCATATAGATACTGGTGATACTGGTCATAAATAGACCGGATAAGGAAAACAATCCGATAGCCTATGAAGAGTAAAATAAATTGAACCAATCACAACAAACATGCTCGTCCAGCACACGAGTTGTCATAGAAACATTGCACGAAATGACAAAGACGCAAAGTAATGAGCATCGCCGTTCAATGCAAAATTGGTTTCTAGTACAGTATTTGGAAATTTCCTTCTTTCACAGACCTGAAGGACAAATCTTTGCAGCAGTTAGCCTACTACTAGTCTAACTCAATGTCATTGGTTCTAGATGTACCCATTCGCGCTTTACTGCTATACTGGTCTTGTCAAATTTGTTCCAGACAATCACAAACAATCAATCTTATTTCGGGTACTCTTACAACATTAGACTAAACCATGGGACGGATGTCAGTGTCTGGCAATTCTTCATTGTAGTCTTCGATTTGTTGGGAATAAATCGCCTCCACGCAGCATAATTATTTTGTAGGTGTGAGACGAACTTGAAGCATCTCAAATTATTTTCAAATAATTACGATATCTAGTGTTTCGTCGGCTTGACTTGATCGCTGTCAGCACCGCTTTTTGTCAGCTACCACCAAGCAGCGGAGTTCATGAGGCTTCGTCTTGGGAGACAGACCAACAAGTGGATCTAAAGTTTCTAAACCCGGAGAGGCGACGAGCAAATGACGATGTCAGAACTTCAGTGTTCCGTTCACACTACACTGCACCATGTATGATGTACACAGTCACTAGTTCATGCTGCTGATCACCCGAAAAGTGTGGTCTATACAGGATATTGCACACGCAGCACAGTGTCCATGGTGTCCGCGAGGATTATTAATTTTTTCATAATCCCCGCGGCGCTCTGCGCGCCTTGGGGATTTGAAAAATAATCCACTCGGAATCGTGCAATATCCTATACAGTCATGTACATGTACATGTACATAGCCATCGGCATCGGTATGCATAGCGAGCGACCCATACCTTTCCACATCGTACTTTGTTTTGTAGCGACGTTTCCATGCTTTCAGCCACAGACTGGATGGAGGGGGGGGGGGGGCAATGGCTGAGCTGGGAAGTGGGATAGGGGATACCGGTTAGTGATACTGTAGGGTGGATAATGCTCGAGAAATAATAGGCAGATTCTGCGCGAAAAGCGTCGAAATAATTGGCAGAACCACATACACTGTATGTAATACAAACTAACCAAGCCAAGGTTTACAAATGTACTTGGAATTATAAACTTAACACTAACCTAGGCGAAGCCCAGGTTTATGTGATAGTAACAATTATAATATTAGAATCAACTCGTAAAAACTCCAAGTCAATCTCTCATTGACACAAACCTCGTTTATTCAACATAATCATTATCCTATCCAATAAAAACAGTTCATAAAAACAGCTCATAAAAACAGCTTTTTAGGATTGGACCCAGTCCGCATAACCAAGAGAGCTAGCTCCCTCGGCTGCTGTTGGAATATGCAAGAATGGGCCTTCCAGATAGGTCTAACAAGGAGAAGTGGCTATAGTTATGAAATGAACACCGGTAACCATGGAGACAGACCACACTCTCATTATAGATACTGGTTATAAATAGACCGAATAAGGAAAATGATCTGATAGCCTATGAAGAGTAAAAGAAATTGAACCAATGACAACAAATACTCGTCCAGCACACGCGTTGTCATAGTAACACAAATAACAGCTGTCCACTAATTTTGTTGTTGGAGATTGAGTAGGAGTTTTCACGGGTTGATTCTAAATACAATAAATGAGGAGGCCGAGGGTTTATGACCAATAAAAACTAATTATAAAAACCTCGGGGACCTCGGTTTTTATAATAGTTTTTATTGGTCATAAACCCTCGGCCTCCTCATTTATTGTATACATAATAATAACACAGATACGCGTACAACATGCACAGCCATGCTATAAATGCTTCCGCTGCTGTTCTCTAGCTAGGGTCCGGCGGATTCCGCCGGCAGAAAAATTGGCAGAATTCTGTACTTTTTCTGGTAAGTTTCATGCATGTTTGGTATGTGGATAAAAATGGAGCAGAATTCGAGGAATTGCCCGCCATAAGGTATGGTTCTGCCAATTTCACTGCTTTTCGAGCAGAATCTGCCACCTTTTCGAGCAGAATCCGCGGGTCCCTATCTCTTGCTCTGTCCATTATGTATGTCAACATCCGGCAGTTGTGGCGACTCCTTCAGATTATCTGCCGCCATCCATTGCGATCCGCAGCAAACTTACTTAGGTCGTCCAGATGGCTTCGGCTCGAGAGGCCCAGCTTGCCTCTGCTGAGCAGGTCTTGGTTCAGGGTGCCGACCAGCGACGATCTGGGCCGGCCCTTGTACCCACGTTGCTGTGGAGTGAAGTACCCACTCATGGCTTGCTGCGCTGGGGTGTCCGGCGACAGTCGCAGTGCATGCCCCAGCATCTGCATACGTGCCTTCTCGATGGTGGCTGACAGCGGCTCTTCCCGACAGCGCTGGTACAGGTTGATGTTCGATATCCTGTTCGGGAACCTTATGCCAATGAGGCTCCTGAGCTGGCGTCTGTGGCATCTGTCAATCTCACTCACCAGGGCTTTCGTCATGCTCCAGCCCAGCACAGTTATAGGTTAGGCATGGCTTCACAAATGCACGGTATCATTTGATTCTCCGATTCTCGCTGATTTTCTCCCGTCTGATCCACAGTGAGTACATTCTACCAAAATACTGTCGAGGCAAGCTGTATCCGGCGCTCACAATCCGCTACATCCCCAGCAGCGATCCCAGTTGCTAGGAAGACTTCCAGACATCACTGTCGTGGGTGAGGTGGATCCATTCTGTTTTTTCTGTGTTGAGTTTAGATGCCAGTCTGCGAATACAGTGTCGATTATCGGCAGGGCCCGTTGTAACCATTGTTTGCTAGTGCTCATCAGCGTCACGTCATCAGCTAGCCAGTTTCGTGAGGAATAGTACTGTCGGCTAGGGGTCGCTCCGGGAACAATTATATGCCACGTATAAACCTAAGACTAGTTTGTTGAAGGGCTTCATTGCAAAACGAGATAAATCCATTTTGACCAATTTTCAGGAGGAGCGATTTTCTGTGATCAACAACTGGGTGGGTTTGGGTCAAATCTAACTTAGCAGATGAGAAGAGTAGGGTGATGTATGCAAATACAGACTTTCTCAAAAATCAGGAGCCATCCATTTTCTCAAGCAAGGTGATTCTTCATTATTTTCGGGCAAAACCAGACCACGTCGCCGGACTAATCAGTATTATGAGATTAGAAAATGCAAGTGCAACGACTTCACTGAGTTGAGAACTCTGAAGGAGCTCACCAGCAACAGCACTGCCAGCAGCAGCGTCGTCCCTCCCTGACGCCTCCAGCATACTGCCCTTTTCAGTTTCGAAAGCGAAAAAACAACAGCTACGAAGAAGATGATACAAAAAGAACGAAATGACAACGTAGATGTAGCTGCTACAAAGCAACAACACGAAAACACTGTACTTTGAACTCTGACATCGACATTTTGCACAGACTCAGTTTGTAGTCGCGATGTTTGCCACGTGCTGCGCCAGCACTCGCTGGCTTGTCACAGGTCACGCTGGCCCGCGCGACAGGATATGTCGCACTTTGCTCGAAAACATCGGTGGTGTTTATCGCGTTTTGCAGTAGAACGTCAACTTCAACGTTGATTTTCAGTTGGATATGTCTCGTTTTGGAGAATTCTTTTTGGCCACCAGATGCAGTGATCCCTACTGATTCGATTGACACCGAAAACGCCATATGCATGAGATTGGCGTTTAGCGCGTTTTGCAATGAAGCCATTCTTTATTTTAATATTATTTACATGTACATGTACATGTAAACCAGGCTTTATACAGTGGTCCCTCTATAATCCGGCACCATTTGTGCCACGAAAATCTGCTGGATTAGGGAGGGTGCTGGATTAACAAATCTGATTTACTGCTGCAATGTACATGAAGAGGACATTTTGGCTACTGAAAATTGTGCTGGTTTATCGAGGGTGCTGGATTATAAAGTGTCGGATTAGAGAGGGACGACTGTACAACCTCCATCCAACTCTACCGGCTAGGCCTGGGCGGATAATGCTAGTTATTTTGCGGGATAATGCTAATGGCAATGCCAGAAAAACTGTATCATAATGCTACTTATAATGCTGTTGTCCCTCTGTAATGCCAGCAATTCACCAGTAGTAAGTATGGAAAAATGGCTTGGTTTGGGCAGTATTGTGCACGTTTCGTAGTTCTACGTAGACGGCATGGAAAATGCTAGAAAATCATGATCATAATGCTAATTTTATGCTGCTATTGCTCCATACAATCCCTAGCAGCTAGCTGTCCAGCGAGGAAAGTCTCGAGTGGAGGCCTCTCGATCTGCTCGCTCATTCGCCTGGCATTCAGTAGCACTTCATCGCCAAGGACTTCAATTCAAAACAGTTTTCACACTGCGCTTCAAGCCTTTTTGCTCGTGAACTTGCTGCAAACGTATGAGCTCTGCTGCGCGTGTTCCCTTTGTGTGAGGCCCAGAAACAGCTAGTATCTCCGTACTTCGATTGGCTGGATCGATGTCGTCCAGGTTCTCCTCGCTATCGCCATCACGACTCTAACTGGAGACGATTTCTTCACCATTTTCCGCAAGCAGCAGCTAGCGCAGAAATTTCGCCATCCCTGAGTGTAGGAGATGGAATCCGTTCGATCAGCTCAAAACCTCTTCGTTGTGACTAGAGGAGTAGCAGGGAATATTCTACCGGAAGCCCTTTGACTTCTCTGACTGCTGAAACCCTTCCTGCCATGACTGCTACTTCTTCAAACAAGCGAGATTCCCTTTGGTTCCTCACTGCACTCGAGCGTCCACCAGGTCCACGCGACACAACCTTTACAAAACATCATTTTTCTCAAAAAAATGATTTTCACCCTAGCCTGGTTTTCGCAGTAGTAAGGGCCATTTGGAGTCTTATTCAATGCCACTTTTGTCGAAATGTAGTGTTATAATGCTAGAATAATGCCCGTTGCAAATCGCACACTATGTACATATGTGCTGCCTCCGCTCTCCGACCACTGTCCAGTACAGTACTCTGCAACATTCAACTGAGGCAACTCAGACAGCAAACTCGTGAGCAGATAGTGGTACCGGATTACGCACGCACTTTGAGGCTATGCGAGCGGACCTCTGGCTGCAGCCTCTCCGAGAGTGTATAGATGGCGCCAGTTGTATGGAAAGCGCCTGGCACTCTTGGCACTCCTATGCCAATGAGAGTATCCAGCGCCACTTGGCCATGCGAACATTGAAGCCGAGAAGAAAGCAGACCACGAAGCCTCGGTTCACCATGGTTCACTGCCCAGCACAAGCGAATGCACCAGAACAAAAACCGTATTTTCAAATTAGCCCAGAGAACGAAAGCGCTGGAAGACTGGATAGCGTACAAGATGGTGAGAAATGCTCTTACAAACAGTCGCAGCAAGTCCCTCTATTTCGAAGAGCTTTGCTCGCGTATTGATAGCGACAAAAACTGTTACAAATGGCGGGCCGAGGCCAAGAAAATTGCCCAGATCAGCAAGAAGCGAGCGACCATTCCGACCCTGGTTGATGATTGTGGAGATGCGGCTTGTGATTCTTCTAAAGCAGAAGCACTGGCCCGTTGCTTCAAAATCCAGTTATTATTATTAACTGGTTTGAGGGAAAGAGACAAACGGGAAAAGTCTGAAGAAAAAATTGACTGTCACCACCAGGACTCGAACCAGGGACTTTCGCTTGTAGCCAGCGATGCTCTAACCACTGAGCTATGATGTAGTCGTTCTCGACGTCTGTCTCACCGTCCAGGAGCGACACTGACTCACGCTGCTATCTGGTGTTCACGAGGTGTTTGTCGTGCTGGAAACGGAGTGTCTCTGTAAGTTTGTATCCCTGGTGATGTTTGTGCTTGGAGAGCACTATATACATATAAGTGGTGCTCTTCAGGCACAATCTTCCTCAGCCTACTCAAGCTCAACTGATGAGGGGTGAATTCCCCGAAACACTGTGTATTGAGCAGGGAGTGGTTCTCTACAAAGAGAATGGCAGAGCCAGCTAGCTACAGGCCTATCTCCCTGCTGCCGCCCATAGCTAAGATTCTGGACGCCATCATCGCCGAGCACCTCACCAGCTTCCTCAATAGGCAGGGATTAATTAGCGACCACCAGTATGGCTTTGTCTCCTGCAAGTCGACACTCGATCAGCTAATTGTCCTGTTTTCAAGAGTGGCTAAAGCACTCGACAAGCGCACTGACTACCATGCTCTATTCTTGGATTTGGCGAAAGCGTTTGACAAGGTACCGCATACTGTTCTTCTCTGTCAGCTCGCTACTATCATATCCCCTGAGGCTGAAGCCGTTTCTTGGTTCACCAACTACCTCACAGACCGTTCCTTCTGTGTCAAAGTTCTCTCTGCCAAGTGGCCAACCCACCCAGTTTCTGCAGGCGTTCCCCAGGGATCTCACCTTGGCCCCATTCTTTTCATTCTCTACATTAATGCCCTTCCTCGCACCATTATCGTCTGATGTCACTACTGATGTGCTCTTATTTGCCGATGACACTACTCTTGGGAGAGCAGCCGGAGGACCTAACCAACAACAAATGGTCCACCCCCTCCAGGCCGCCACTGATGGCGTTCTGCAGTGGGCTGATTCAGTCGGAGGGTGCTTCAGCCCTTCGAAGTCTTGCACCATGCAGTTCTCTCCTAGAAGTCGTGCAGAACGTGCCCACCCTACTCATCCGACTCCGCACCTGAGAATGCAGGGAGATGACGTGTCTGATGTAACGACTCATCGACATCTTGGAAGTCATCTTGGACTCTAACCTCGACTTCACCAACCACGTCGCCACCATCACGACAAAGTTTCGCCAGCGAGCGGTCCTGCTGATCCACATGACCAAGCGTATCACCCCAGCCGTAGCCAGCCGCTTGTACACTGGATATGTTCGACCTGTGATTGAATACGCCTCATCCCTCTGGCAATTTCAACTCTCCAGTGCTCAGGCTACTACCCTTGAACGGCTACAGGCAAGAGTGGCACGTGTGATCCTGCGGCAGTATGGCGTGTACCCTCTTCAAACGGTTAAATGTGGGTCTTTGAATAAAACAAGTTGAGTCCTCAAACGGAGCCGAAAGCCTCACTTTTCGCGCACCTCCAGTGGCCCAGCCTCGCGTGGCGAAGACACATTCAGTGCCTTCTTGAGCTCCACCACCTTATCAATAGCCAGATGACGACCCTGGAGGACCTAGGCTACTCAGTGTCAAACAGCGCCAGGTGCCCCCCAACATCTACTCCCACCTGCTAGAGCCAGCACGCACACCCGTGCCACCTTTCTCTTTGTCACCACTGCCACATGGAACTCCCTCCCGGCTGCCATTCGTACTGTATCCAGCCCAAAATGTTTTACCGCTCTTGTCCGCACACACTTTGCTATCACCCGTTATGAGCCCTCTGGTTTCATTCCACGTAGAGTAGCGATGTCATAGAGCACTGTGTTATATTACTACCACCCCGCATCATTCTATTTCCTATTTTTATTTTTCTCCTCAGCTTCGTCTTCATAAACTGTTG